GAAACAGGCTCCCAGATGGGACAGAGCGTCTCATGAAATTGGACGATTTAAAGCAATCACAGAGCTCTTTGAAATTGTCACCAGGGGAGAGACAGAGAACATGTGCGAAGGTGGTGCCACATTAGACTAAGACCTGCCAACCTACAGAAAGCTCCAGAGGGCAAAAGTCATCCTGGAAAAAAACTACAACCAGCTGTACAAACACTCACTGTTCAGGCAAACTTCATGTGCAGCGGCGGCCCACTCCTCAGAAGCAGGAACATGATGCCAGTCATGTTTGCTTTCCTGGCACTTAGTGATGAACAAATATTACTTTTTAATTGTTGAGAGAAATAATTTGAGCCTTCCTTTGACGACAACTAACAATCACTGACTTTGGGAATGACTTAAGGCATATTCCAACAGTTTCTAGCACTTCTATGAAGAGTGACGACTGACAGGAGGCAGAATAAAGAAGGAGTGGTGAGAACTGAGGTAGCACATGAAGACATAGCATTTTAGTCTTCAGTATCAATCAAGCTATTAAAACACTAGATCCCATGTTTCCCATCATGCAAGTGAATATGCCTGATGTTTGCTAACTCATATCAAACTCATCCTCTCCAGGTTGTAATACAGACTAATAAAGATTTTTCCAGTCTGAAATACAACCCTGATGATGTCACAAAGGTTACATTTCTTTCAAATAAAGCTTTTTTTCCGTGGGCAGCCCTTGAGCAGAAACTCCAGGAGGAGGATTCAGAGGAATGAAGTGAAGAAGGACAACAGAAGGATGGAGAAGTGTGCATCACTTCTCTATCATCATGTGTAACTTGAGATTGCTGGACAAGAAGATGGATGAGCCAGCAGCCTGCTGAGTGAGGAGACAGAGGGAACTCTGGGAGTGTAGTTTTTTGTGTTTCACATAGACATGGCTATAAGTGACCATCATCTGCTTTCAGACAGGCAAGATGAAGCGTTTCTGCAGCTCAGACATTAACCTTATTGGTGGAGCTGCAGCCGTAATACGTGACACTGTTTACACCCTGCCCTCCGCTAACCTGGCACCTACATGTGACATCATCAACCTGGAAACTGAGGGACACCAGATCCTGCACATCTGTGCACACATGTTTTATTTCTATTCACTTACTGCAGCTATTAGGACTTTTGTGAAAGTAATTACTTTTTTGTGTATATTAACTTCCTTTTTCCTGACTGTGTGTTGTGCAGCTGTAACAAACCAATGTCCCTGCGGCTGTCAATAAAGTTTTTTCCGATTAGAACATTTTTCCACTCCTTTCACGGGCCCAGTTGCTCCTCATGACAAGTAAAATGAACCTCGTGGGGGACATTTTCAACTTTTTTTCTGAACATACATGTAAGATGGGATACACCATACACGTTTAACACTATATCAACTGTAATTAGTTTAATCTATTCACGTACAAAACGTCACATGCAAACCTATCGTTGTATTAGTAGGAGCACTGGCACATTTTCAGTCAGAATGAAATTGAGACAATTACAGCGCTTGGGAAACCCAGCCCGTCGTGCGTTTACGCGGCCCTGTCATCCTCCCACATGGACAGGCTGAGAGGATCACAGGGAAGACCGGTGGGTAAGTGCCAATCAAGCAGTGGGAAACCTGACAGGAGGAGCCGTAATTGCATAGCTTTTGAACAAATAGTTACTTTAACTTGAACCTGTGGAGGTGTCCAGTATACAGATTAGGAGATTATATGCTCTCAGGCTGTTAAGGAAAAACCAAGAGCCAATGAGCTATCCATGCTCAAGTCGCCCTTAAGTAATATTGACACATTATGTCTTACATCAGCCATCCTCCCCTTCCAATGATCTCGAAGACTAAAGCTTTTTTTCAAAAAAAAAAAAAAAGAATATTTTCCAAATACTGCCAAAGCCACTATTTTAACATCTGGAAGTCATCCCCCCCCACCCCACCCCACGCCTCCATTTGCTGAAATTGGTTTATAAGAAGTTCCCATGGTGCAGTCAGGCACAAGCTGCATTAAAAATCTATCAGCTCCATCGTCTGTGCCACCGAGACGTCCCAGGTTGAGTGGCAGATGCTACACAATAGACAACTGATAGGATCTTTGTCTTCCTCATAGTTGAGACCATGTGCAATCTCGTGAGCAAGACCCCCTTTAACTGTGGAAGAAAAGAGGCGTGTAATCAAGTCATAGCTCAAAAATGCAGCATGTGTTTCTAATCAAAGCCGTCTGTGGACCTGGTTGAATTCACATGTTTGGACAATTCAGCTTTGCTACAAAACAGCCCATTTGTTGCAATGTCAGTGATGTGGCAAAAACAACTGGAAGCAATTTAGAGGACAGAGTGAGTTAATGCAGCTTTGTTGATTTGGATTTTTTCGCTCTCAGCTTCAGTGTTTCTCTAAGTGAGGGAAAACTTTTACAAGTAGATCTGCGATGGCTGTCAAATACACTGTGACGATGAGACGATGTAAATCTGCCAACGAACTCGAGTGAGCTGCTGGTTTCACAAAGACTGAGCGTTTAGTGTCTTTGATGTAAGGCGCTAAGAGGCATCTTTGAAGATGTTTTACAGCTATGTCAGTGTCTGTGAGGAATCATGTTTACACACACACACACACACACAGGCCTGCATCTCTGACTCTGGGCACAGAATCCCATTTTTATGTTATTGGAGTCAGTTCTCTGTTGCAGCTTTTTTTTTTCCTTTTTCCATGTTCATATCACCAACCCTTACTCCACATCTCTGCTTCTTCCAATATACTGAGAGCTGCAGGTTTTGTTTCAGGGCTGTACTGTATTTTTATCCTATAATCTGTGCTGGCGTCACCATTTCCAATTGTGAGCTTAAAGTCTGCTCCTTGATCTCATTTGCCAACGAATGTTCTTCTGCAAGCAAACCTTCTGCACATGTGCAAGCATATGGCTTTCATAGAGACCTGTATCATTGTACTGACCAAACATTTGCAACATTTTCTTTAAACATGTTTTCAGTCTTGAGGCAGCATATTTGATTTTAGAATTCCAAAACGTTGGGGCCCTGAGAAATCTTTCCAATAATCTCAATGACCTCAGTGAAGACCTTTTCCATTTTCGGAACAGACTGAAAAAGGTTTGGCTAAAACTTTTCTCAGAGTTTATGTCTGCTTACAATTTTGTTTCATTAAGATTCAACAATAGTCCATTCGAGGTCGCATAATTCCCTGTAAAAAGTTCTAATTAAATGCTGCTCCACTGGTAATTGGACCCATGACCACTTACAATACTGAACCTCAGGTCAGTGTTCGTCAAACTGTAATCACTTTAAGTTTAACTTGTTATTCTGGGAGATAATTCTGGATAATGGATCTACAGTACATCTATTCACACAACTTCACCATTGGTGAAGGTAAAATGCCAAGAAGTCTGCACATCAAAAACCATTCCAGTTACACACACACATATACACACAAGAACATTGTCTCAAAACTCTGGTGAACCACATTTTCCCTTACTCTACAAAATCCACCAACTTTCCACTGTTTGTATTTGGTCGAAATGCAATCACCTCACCCACCACTATTCCATGGAAAGAAGCAAGATCACTGCACTGCTTCTCATGAACAAATATGGACTGAGACTGTTTCCTAACAAGGGTGGAGGAGCAGATTCAAACCCAGCCGCTAAGAACTTGTGTACTACTCAACACAAAAAGACTTTATTCAGTCTTTTTGCCCTGCTCATCTCAAAGCAGCAGAATGATGGAGATGAACAACTTCTTCAGCACAGTTTAAGTTCACACTAACAGCATGAGACACATTATGGGCTCTGTGTTTCATTCACCACAAGGTGGTGCTATATCTGGTCCCCTCTATCACACCACTGTCTCTGCATATTGGGTTGAACTTAAAGACTAAAGCCAACTCATTTTAGTTAATGAAATAATGAAAGAACAACTTAAATTATCCAGAGGGAAAAATGGCTTAAAATAATATACAACACTGTCTGTGCTGCAAAGCTCAACGCCAAACTCCATCAGGGGCCCCATCAAATAAACTCTCCAGTGCTCAGTGTGGGACATGACATCATGTATGCAGAAACAACACAGTCCCTGTGACGACACAGGAGATCAAACACTCCAGTTGAGGAAAAGACGAGGGAAGCACAGTTCAAGTAAAACAAGAACACTCAGGTGTTCCAGCTCTTCGTGTTTCCAGCTAAAGACATCAGCAGCCGCACACTCTCAGTGACTCAGAGCGTCCAACAGCATCTCTCCACCTCATGTCTCCTCACATCTGCCCTGCATTAGCGAGCAGTCTGTGTTCCCTCAGAGGCGCATGAGCTCCGCTGCTGAAATTCTTTTCACAGATGTACAATGTAGATCGAATGAGGAGGGGGGGCGGTGGGTGGGTTGGGGTAACACTTAATGAATGTTCCAAAGTGCTGGAGCAAATGTAAAACCACGAAGGTGCTCATTTCCCTCCTCTGCACTTTTTCACTGCCTGATGGTGACATCACCTGCAATCACTGACAGATGTCCGCAGGACTGTTTCCTGACATACAGGACTCTGCCAGATAATCACAGCAGAGCTACTCTCATCTCCTTTGACTCTTCTCTAAACGACCCTTCAATGACCAAGTAGGGACTGTCTCAAACGCCAACAATAGAGATGTTACTTCTCATGTTCTGTGTTGTTTCTACATGAATTTACTGCAACAAGGCATTAGAGAACGAAGTTGTCCTTTACCAGGAGGATTATGTTCGGCGAAACAAAACCAAAATAAAATGTTGGAAATTAACAAAATAAGACTGATCCAAACTAAACTTTCCCTAAATCAATAAAAACCACACTGTTAGGAGTCGCTAATATAAATGACTTTAAACCACAGAGACAAAAATAAACTGCTACAACTAAAGCAAACTTTTTCACAGTTGACACAAACAAAAAGTCAAATGCAATGATTGAGAGTCAGCCAACTTCACACATTAGAACCAAACAGCAACTAAAGGCAGAGGGGTTCACTTACCATCGCTCCCATCTTGACATGTAACAATCAAAACCTGAGCCACGGAGACCACCAGAAAAAGGAAAGTCCTTAAATGCACAGAGCTCATCATGTCTATAAGAAAGACATGAGCCTTCTGTGTGTGCAAAGAAAAAAGGAGAAAAAATGCTCAGGTTATCACTGCACCACCATGAATACAAGAGTGCCTCTCCTTGTAAGCAGCAAGCAGACCCAGCCCCGACTGCGTGAGTGCCTTTTTTTGTGTAGTTACAGCTTTAAATGAGAAGAATGCTGGCGGGCCTAATTTTCCTCCCCCCTTTGTCAGCCCTCTCCCATAACCATCTCACAGGCTTTGTGGCTGTGGGAGAACTACACCCATGTTCACAAGTTCTCATAGTTTCCAGTGATTCTTTCAGTCTCGTGTCGCTACCTCAAAATGTGATCATCTGAACTCAGAGCCACAGGACAAAAAGATGCCAGTGAAGAGATAAGGAAGGAAAAAACATGACTTTGCTTGTCCCAAGATGCCACTGATTTCTTTGCCTCTCTTCAGAAGTGGTTGCTAAGTAAGATCATAAAAGTGCTGTTTTATTGCAGTCTGTGAGACACAAAACAAGTCACACAGAAAGCTGAGAATCCTTTTTTTACAGGGCAATTAAAGGCAAAAATAGAGTTTTATCACACTATTGTTTTCTGATGAGAAATTGCAGTTAAGAAAGTGTAGCAAACGAGAACGCGCGTCGACTCGTTTGCTTATAGAATCAGTGGCATCTCTTAAATTAGTCTCTCCTGAGTGAAAAGAGAGACAGTCACTATGGGTGGTCGTGATCCTAGGTGGTCATCCCTGAGAGTTTAAATTTAGAGAGAAATCTGAGGTTAACCCCTCTTGACTTATGGCGAGAACATGGAATCCAGCCATTGAGCAAGTGGGAGTTTTACATCTGATTAGAGTGTAACATTTAACTAAGGTAGTATAAACTTTCATTGTGAGGCACCAATGAGGTTTTAAAGTCCTTATTCTTGCCCCTAACATATAGCAACATAATAGAGGGACAATATTAAACCTGTTGTTGGGATATACAATTTGAATTCAGATTGTATGCACAGTGTGCATACGAGCCATAAACAGACGTACGTTGTAGTTCCGCTCTGTACGTCAGTGAAACAAAGAACTGACATGAAATTCACCTTTGGAAAAATTAGAGACATGGAGAAATGACGGATGAATGATTCTCTATGGGACAATTTTTCACTGGCTGATCCAAATATATACAAATAGGCTCTGAATGCAAACATGATGTTACCATCTATACAAATATATTAAGTTGGTGACAACTTTGAAAACATATAGAAGCCAGGAAGTCAGCCCAAACGTGCATATCAGCTACATCTTGTTTTTAGATGTTAATCAAACTCACAAACTGTGAATTAATAAACCTTAAATACACACTTGTAGCCATCTACCACTCAAAAATGAAATCACACATAACTACTTGAAATGACACCGAGGTTTCTCACCCAAGCTTTGCCACACACTCTGAACTGTATGACAGGAAACAGCTGTGTGTTGTGCTCACAAGGTGCTAAAGGCATCAGGTGATTGACTTTCCATCAGACAGAGTGTGTGTGCGTATATAGAAAGACGGGGTGGGGGGGATGGGGAGGTGTTTAAGAGACCAGAGCAGAGCTAATGAGAAAGACAGCTGTTTTCTAGGCGGCCCTGCCCACTACAGGTCAGCCAATGAAGGCCCCTCAGCTACAGGACTCACAAGAAGCATCAGTTGTATTTTCTCTGAGAACTGACGGATAAAGGAAACACCAGGGCAGAGCTGACACTGCCAGTTGCAGCTCTTTAGCCAAAAAATGTTGTCAGTACAGAGACTGTTGCCAAAGGGAGTGTAGGAGCTCTGGGAATCAGTTAGTGTAAATCATGGTCAGTCCCCTGTGGTCCCAATACAAGATTGCTTTGCGAGTGATGTCTTCAAAAGTAAACAACATTAAGCTGCATCCAGCTGTGATTGGTGCACTCGGTAGCATCGTATTTCCGGCGGACTCGCCACAATTTCTGAATCGAGTTAAAGGAAAGAACATCCGCTAAGTAACATTCACCATTGTTCTAAAGTAAACAGAGACGCCAGAGAATTTGTACATAAGCAAACCAGAAACAGGAAGACGCTCAACACCAGCAAAGACACTCTGCCACCACTAGTGTTTCGGCACCATAATTGCAGCATGACTCACACACAACTATGAATGCTCGGCCCGTGCGTAGGCTACATTTAGCTTCGAGGCAGAAGCAGGAATAAGGCTTTAGTCAGAAGTCACCTCTAAAATATTGACCATAAGAAAAATATATTAACGTTTAATTGAGCCAACTGACAAAAGTACTTTTGTATCGAGTTATTTAGATAACATTGGTGAACAACAAGAATATGCATCAGTCTAGCTATGACAAAATGACCTCTGCAAGCAAAACCAGAAAAGTGTGAATACCCATCACAAAGGCTGCTTTGCTGCAAAGTTTCTTGGATTTCTTCATGAATTATCATTCATTGAAGAAGAAGAAACATGATATTCAAACTATTCCACCTGAAGGTTGTGTTCTTTTTGTGCCATTATTATAAAATATATCAATATAAACAAATTAAGACAATGAACGTACCAAATATGAAATGTCATAGATACACAACACTGTATATTGCAACAGCATATATAAATAGCAGAGGGTAAGAACATTTGGTTGATTTTTAATAGTTGCCACAAACCTAACCTGTGGATACTTAATTTTTATACTATGAAGGTTTTGCTTGCATGTCGTAAGATGATCCTTGTGCGATCCGCTTCCTGTCCAGCAGGCATCAATCTACAAATTCTGGTTTCTTTTTCATAAAAGGCACAAGGTCATGAACACATGTCAGGTGCTGTCATTATCCTGTCATCACGAACAGTACCATATAAAAGAAGGATTATTACATTTTCAGATTTTGGAGATGATTATCCAACTCTGCTTCCTGCCTTATGATTGTGACTTTTCTCTCTTTTGTTCAGACTGAATGAAGTGGTGCAGGCTGGAGAGGCTGCAGGGTATCAGGTCAAGGTTATAAATAATGTGGCTGGAGCAAAGATATACAGTTGGTGAGTGTAACTGTATATATTTGTATTTCGACCGAGAGCATGGAAAAAGAACTGATTAATCCCAGTGAATACCATATATGGTCTACTGGGTTTGAGGTCGCAGTTTTGTTGCTTAATTAATCCATTCTACGTCTACCTCATTTCATACTGTGTGGTAAAAAAACATTTAAAAAAAAACGTGCATAATGCAGGAGACACAGCAAACCACATAGTTTACATCTCTTACATCAGTCAAACATACATTGGTTATCTGCTGCAGTCATCAGTTGTTGTGTTTTGCTGTAGATGAAAGACACCGCAGTGTAACCTTTCTTTTTCTTTGTACTGATTTATTCATTTTCATTCAGCTCATTAATTTAGTTGTCCCCCCCCCCCAAAAAAAAAACAATTTATTTAAGTTTCTTGCACTGGTATCATTGGCTTTAGACTAAGAGCTTGATTGGAGGAGGACTGATATGACTGATGTACCTTATGAAATGATCTTTGAGAAGAAATGAAATCCTGAATTAATTCCCTATAAGACCACAGTGTACTGCTCTCAACCGTCCTCCCTCCACCGGCAGACTGCAGGTCCACTCTGTCTAAATGTGGCAAAGATACAGCACGGCCAACACTTAGCATAGTAGTTGATGTTTGCCAACAGAGCTGTAAAAAGGTCTGTTGCCCATCTGCAGGCATTTTCACACCTGAATGTCCCGACCATTGACCAAACCAATAAGTCCTTGTCTCCGTTACATTAATCCAGTTAGTTTGGGTGTCACATTGCAATTTAGGGAACAAACTAAAAACTATTACTAAAATAGTTACTAAACTAAATACTAACTATTGTCACATGGGTGACATCATCACCCATGTGAGCTGTGTCTACCTATATTTGACATTGATGATGGACATGCATCCGATGTCGGCCTGTTGTTAAAACGGCCATCGTATTCATTAACTTTTGTGAATGAAGTTCATAGGAAAAAAGGTAGTCTTTCTGTTTTGAATGGAGAAAACTGGGTCATTTTGTTAATTTCATTGCCACTGTTATTTTATTTTTATCTGGTTTTACTACCAGGGAAATGGACATCATGTTGTTCATCCATATGGTCAAACTGCAAGCTATCCAGCACGCTGCTTCCTTTTTTTCTTCTACAGTTGTTTGTTGGTTTCTCAAAATCTGAATTACCCCCCCCCCCCCAATGGTTTTCACACAGCAAACGAACCATTGTTCTTCTAACACAAAGCAGGACCACCTCTTATGTTTGCACTTAATTTTGTCAGTTTTTCCAGACCCATCATAATTGAAGAAAGGCACAACAGAACCCAGATGCACAACACTGGAGGCAGATAAAAGTTCTATAGTCTTCTTTGAAAAAATGTTCAAGGATATCTGAATCAGAACAGCAGAATCTGAGTTTAAACAGCATGGGGCAAAAACAGGATCAGTATATCTAGATTAATACAAGAATACAATGCTGCAAAGCTAAGGCACATGGTACTAAGACAAACAGAGACAAATGGAAGTGGACCATTTTATATAGAGTGGAGCTGATGGGGAGATGGAGAACAGGTGAGAGAGGAGGTCGAGCAGCTGAGGTGATTCAATTAGCATGAGCTGGTGGGAGTGGCTTGGCCAGCAGACAACAGTGAGTGAATGAATGAATGAATGAATGAAATAAACCAAGACACTCAAATCATGACAGGAAGACACTGTTCACAACTTTTACTTTGGTTCAGACTTAACTGAAAAGTTTGAAGGACTGGAACAAGGTAAATGTGAAAGTCCTCCATGTCAGCTGACAGCTTTAGGTTCACTTGGATCTTAAATGACTCACAAAGTACTTCTAATCAACATTTGAATTGAACCTCCAAAACAAAGTAGGATTACATAAATACTGGATAATGAAATAAACCACATAGGGGTTTCCTTTTCTCCAGCAGCTATAAATTCATTTAACAGATTTTTTTCTCTAAATCTTAATAATTTGTAAAAGTAATTCTAGGGAAATGTGTTACCAATATTAAAAATGATTTATTTACGATTAATAATTTTGTGTGTAATTTTCGTGTGCTCTTTCTCCTGAGACATGTAAAAACATATTCTGTCTTCCAATCTACTAAAATATTTAAGACACAACTTATTTCTTAATACATTTTGTTGACTGCTGTTGATGGGTATTGCCATGTTTTTTTTCCCTTTGTGTTTTTGTCACTTGTAGGTTAATCTGACTTG